CCGGTAGGGGGGTTGGTAAAAACTACACCACGCAGATGCTGGAAAAAGCAGGCGGGAACACGCGAACGGCAATAGCCTGCAGGGGGTCGGTGCCAGGGAGCGTCAGGCACTCGCACGGCAGGGTGTGGCGGACCAGAACGGCAACGCCGCCGCCGCGCCCACTGCGGGCCCGGTGGAAGTCCGTGTACCCAATGAACCTCGTCGCCGTGGCACTCTGGTTCTTGACCTCCTGGAGGAGAACGATGTCTGGCTGATGCCGGGCCAGACGTGCAGCTAGTGCGATGTTCTTGAGAGGCGAAAGGCCCGCGATGTTCAGCTGTCAGACGACAACGGAGCCGTCCTCATCGGGGCCCGGGTTCTTACGCGGACATCCCCGCAGCGGGTGATGTCGACGGAGTGACCGAAACGAATCGGTCGTGCAGTTTTGTCGGCCGGCCTGCACGCAGACCGCTTCACCTCCCCACGCCGGACACGGCGTGGAACCTTCTCGAGGGGCGAGGTCGTCTTGGTCTCCGTCGTGCTCGCAGCAGTGCCCCGCTGCGGAGTTCTCGTGGTCCAAAGCCCCAGCACCGCGACAAGGTGCGACTGTGTCGCTGGAGGCTTATACAGTTCCCTTGCCCTCTCCTCGTTTTGTTTTGTTTTTTTTTGAATTTTTTTCCTTGACTCTTGCCGTATCCCTTTTTTTTTTGTTCCTCGCGGAACGCCGCGCAGGAGCAGGGCGGGGGTGTGGGGGATCGCAGTGTCTCAACTGTAGAAATGCGGCGCACCGCGCTTCTGTCGCGCACTGCACGCCGTGGCCCGGGGGGCTGGACGGAGCCGACGCTGCGGCGGGCCGGCACCTTCGTGGACGAGCGTGCCGGCGGCGCCGCGGCGACAGCGACAGCGGCAGGAGCAAAGGGCCCCGCGACCTCATTTCTTGGCGGCCCTTCCTCCGCTGTGAAGGGCGTGTTCGGGGTGGAGGACTTCTCTATGATCAAGCGGCAGCAGATGACGCTCACGAAGCTGATTCATTTGACTATGGACGCGACATTTCGGCCGAAGGACCCTGACAGTTATGCGCACGGCGGCGACGGCGCGACGCAGCGGGCGGCGCTGCGCGAGGAGCTGAAAACGATGGACCACCGCATTACCCCCTTTGCCCATGAAGAGCTGCTCAACGACTACCTCAAGAACGTCATGGCGTTTACTGGCCCATCTGGGCAGGTGTGTGACCGGGAGCTGCTGCGGGGGCGCTTGGTGGGCTTGCTTTTTTTTACGGAGTCGGAGCGGTCGTTGACCTTTATGCGGCAGCTGCAACCTTTTCATCAGAGGCACCGACAGGACTTTGTGGTTGTTGGTATTTCCATGGGCGGCAAGGAGATGGTAGATGTGACGCGGCAGCATGGCTTTTTTCACTGCACCCACCGCGACGGCGCGACGTGGGTGACGCGGGACGCAGGGGTCATGGTGCGGCCGCTAACGCCACTCCCGCGCTTGATTGTGGTTGACGGCACAAGTGGCGAGGAGATCACGCGTAGTGGATTGACGGCGGTGGTGACGCACCCGGAAACGTGCTTTGCGGCGTGGCGCCGTGGGGCTCCCGGACACGAGTGGTGGGACTACTTCAAGACGTTTTACTTGTAACCGGGGCCCTCCGCCACACATTTTCTCTCTTTTGTTTTGTTTGGCGCTTCTGTGGGAGTTGCGTGTGGCGTGAAGTTGCCCGTGTGTGGCGGGAGGTGAGTTGTGGGGTGGGTGGGTGGGTGGGGTGATTCTGCCGGCAGGTGTGCGTCGCCTCTGTGGCGAGCCACGGGGGCGGGCGGGCGGTCGTTTGTCCTTCGCCTCCCCAACAGGCCCCTCCCAGTTTTTATTTTTATTTTTATTTTTTCCTTTTTTTCTTTTTTTTTTGTGTGTGTAGTTTCTTTTCGCGGCCACCGGCGTCGCAGGCGTGTCGCACGCGCGCGGGGAGGGGGGCGGATGGGGGGCGGCGCCTCGACGCGGGCGCGGGAGGACGCGACCACCACCAGCCGCGTCACGTACCGCAACGGCCACCCAAAGGCGCTCGGCGACGAGGTGATCGGCTGCTTCAGCACCTGCGACGACACCGGCAAAGTCGTCGCCCCACCCGGGCTGCTCTACCGCATCGTGGACCGCAGCAGGCGGCGGTGGTCCTTCTACAACGACACGACGGAGTACAACATGGCGGTCACCGGCCACTTCGGCCCGCGCAACGTCATCAAGGCGCTGGGGAAGGCAAAAATGTGGCGCGAGATGCCGGGGGGGCTCCTCATCGTCGAGCTCGTCGTCCCGCCGCTGCAGACGGAGCCCTACTTGGAAGGGCTCGTCACAGACGGATTCGACCTGCGGTTTCGGGCCCTACCGACGTAAAGCGGCAGGAGCAAACCACAGCGGCACCGCCTCGCGCCTTCCTTCTCTGCCCGAGGCGCCCAGCGACGCAAAACAACAACAAAATATGATAATACCAACGCCGCATTGCAGATGCATCCATGACAGGCTGGCTGCGCCGATCCGGCGGCAACGACAAAATGGTAATGTATACTTATCTCCCGCCACACTACTACTCATGTCAATGCCCAACGTAATAATGGAATAAAACAAAACAGCAACAACAACAAAGAGAAGAGGACCGTCATGTCACAGTCGTAGAACGTACACAATATTCACCGTCACTCCGCACGGCAGCAGGAACCCTGTACGAGTCACGTCGGCAGCTAGACGGAAAAACCGTAGAGTTGATGCCTACAACCCGGCAACACTGACAACACCGTAAATGTGTACATGTTTTTTTTTTTGCTGTGCCGTGGCTACAACTACGCCGAAAAAACGTTTCACACGACATCAAACGACACTGAAGGTTTCGCTGGCTTCGGTAACTTGCCCTGCCGCACCCGTGCCCGCCTCCTCCTCTGTGCCTGCGTGCGCCGCATACCGTTGTCTCCCCATCTCCCCCTTTGTTTGTTTGCCCCTCCCCCGCCTGGCGCGCCCGGCAGTCCGTTCTAGCTAGGCTTTCGAGCTCTTCTTCAAACACCCAGTTAACTCTCCTTCTTCCCAACATGCGTGAGGCGATTTGCATCCACATTGGCCAGGCCGGTTGCCAGGTCGGCAATGCGTGCTGGGAGCTGTTCTGCCTGGAGCACGGCATCCAGCCCGACGGCGCGATGCCCTCCGACAAGACGATCGGCGTGGAGGACGACGCGTTCAACACGTTCTTCTCGGAGACCGGCGCGGGCAAGCACGTGCCGCGTGCGGTGTTCCTCGACCTGGAGCCGACGGTGGTGGACGAGATCCGCACCGGCACGTACCGCCAGCTGTTCCACCCCGAGCAGCTGATCTCCGGCAAGGAGGATGCGGCCAACAACTACG